ATCTCCATCATATAATGGGATAGAATCCGGATCATGAACTTGGGTACATAGATATTAGCCTAGCTAGAGTACAAAGAATACACACACAATACATAGTCGACCTCCATTACCTTTTATGGGCAATAAACATGGGAGTACACACATCATCAGGGTTGTCGACTGTTCACATCCATTCAGCACCAGTAGGAGAGAAACGCAAGGAGCGAGACAGCTGAACTTTTGTTCAGAATTTGACCCCGTAATTACACATTCTGGAATATATTGGGGTGGATATCTAAACAGTTTAATGGCATTTCCAATACACCATGCTCTTTTTATTGACAATAAACCTTAGCCTTGAACTTGGTTTAGATTGTTGTTTATATATCACGAGATGTACCGTACAATTCACGCGATTTAACAATGACAGCAAGTCCCGAATTCAAAGTTGTCACACGACATAGGGTATACTAGTGGTTCTTTGGGACATTGTATTTAACTTATTTTTTTCAACAGAATAATCAGATAATGCTATTTTAAATTATTATTTCAAATGAATAAATACACAAGACTTGCCGAGATTTACATGATAAGTCAACATCACGAGCTGGTGATTTGTACCACAAAATCCACGATAGGAAAGCAATGTTTTAACAAATTATTCGAAATTATATCTGATTGTTGACATTAGTTCAATATATGAAGAAACTGTTATTTTTAATTCATAAACGCAGTTAATTCCTGCACTTGTCATGGTATTTCCATGGATCATATTTCGTGAAAAAGCCTACGAAAAATATTCTTACCGTGAAAATATCCTTACCGTGAAAATATCCCACGATACAGTTACTGCTACAACGTTTTATCCTACTTCTATGTTAATAGTGACAAAAGTGTGCTCTACCATACATTGTACAGGTTATTGCCCACATTAAATAATCATAGTGAGGGAGGTCTACCCTCCTACAAATAACAATGTACTTTTATGTAGATTGAGAACCTGATGAGTTTATAATAGATCATGTTACTGCTTAGTAGGAGGTTTTCAGATCATGTTTTATCTTCATGACGTTAATCTCGAAATTCATGAATAAGCTTCGATTGATCAGCCACATATTTTATGTTTCGTTTTTTTGTTTAACAAAATTCTATTTAAAACGATTATCAGTTATCAGAATGTTCTCGATGAATAATGGAGTACGTAACACAAATTGCCTACCGATGTCAGGATGGTTTTTGTCAGACAACTTACCTATTTTAACATTTGATCGACTATTGACAATCCAAGTCACCCTTGATGAAAATCAGTATTCAGATTGTTCTCGATGAATAATGGATTACGTAACACAAATTGCCTACCGATGTCAGTATGGTTTTTGTAAGACATCTTACCTATCTTAACATTTGATCGACTATTGACAATCCAAGTCACCCTTGATGAAAATCAGTATTCAGAATGTTCTCGATGAATAATGGATTACGTAACACAAATTGCCTACCGATGTCAGTATGGTTTTTGTCAGACATCTTACCTATCTAAACATTTGATCGACTATTGACAATCCAAATCAACCTTGATGAAAGACATCATCTAAATGGAACTAAAACAGTTTACAATACGACTCTAACCTTACAATACAATATTGTATATGATGTGATCTTGTCACGTTTTGATACGCTTTACATTTATTTCCAAATAAGGTTTAATGCCAAACACTGGCATTGATTGTTGGAAACTTGTTTTTTTTCCGGCATCAATGTAGCTTTGATAAATCATTTCTAAAAAGAAAACCATACTTGGCAGAACTTCTAGAGGTCTAGACGGGACTCGAACATTTGACTTCAGATGGATATATGATATCGCCTCTAACTGACTGCGCTACCTGGTACAAAAAGTAATACTTATGCAATTAATGTTTAAGCAAATGTTGTTATGATCCTATACCACACACTGGGATTTATTAAGTTTGTCATCAATAGCAATGTGTGTTATAGGATCATAACAATATTTGATAAAATATTCATTATTTGTATTGATATTGATAGAATAGTTATGCTTTATCTAGTTATTTCGAACAGTTTTTGAACAGCAAATTAAGTGTGGACAACAATGAAATTGATGATGTCACCTTAGAGATTGATGACGTTACAATTGCAAATGTTGTTTTAGTTTCATAACAACATTTGCCTGCTTGTTTTGGTTATATAACTGGTCCTTCTAAAAATAGGTAATGTATGACATTACCCAAGTCTAACGTTAGACGAGAAGGAGTGTAGTAAATGCATGGACTTTTAAGACTACATAGATAGGACTCTTTTTTTGAAAAGCTCAAAAGTTTCTTATATAGGGACTTAACGAGTTTTTCCCCGAAATTTAATATGTTATCGTCTCTTCAAATTACAAGGTACTGTAAAATCTGATATACATGTAAAACCGGACCTAGGTGTATTTACATAAGTTAGCAATGCTATTTGTGATTCCCGAGATTCCTCAATGGTAGTTCATTCTACCTTTGTCGACACCCGAGTGATTATCTCGCTATCTCTCTACCGTTATTACATAATGGGTATATTAGTGTTCACATGTGTTGATCTTGCATAGAGCTGGAAGGTCATATTAACCTTGATTACGTCATCTGTGTCCTAAAGGGTTAAGGTTTTGTTTTTGCAGCTACCTTGAAAGGCACTTTGAATGCATTCTAAAACGAGTGAAAAGAATGTAACTTTAGCTTTGTAAAAAGCGACATACGATTGAGAAACCCCTTAATATTTGGTCGACATATCTTAATTAAAATGTATCATCGTCTACCCTATCATGGGTAGTTTAATAATATATATATATTCACAAACATGGATCTGAATGGAAATCTGCATAATTATGTACAAGCAATACGCTTCAGTTGATCTTTACTTTCGATCAGAAGATAGTTCTGTAAAGTAAAGAAAGGTAGATATCGTCGACACAATGTGTGACGCCTGAATATAAATTAAGTGGAAATATAGTTCACAGTCGTCAATGTAAGAGGAAACTAGGTAATACTGTTACTGAAGTACAAACGCGATCCAGGGACCATTATCAAACGTCTTTATACTAGCTAGTTTTTACCTAGGGAGGCACCAACAGGAGTTGCGAGGTTAGACGTTTAACCTGTTTAGGTCGTTATTGTCGGATAAAGAAAAAACATTTGAGTTGGAATTAAAGAAGGTTAACTATATTGTTATTTCGTCAGCTTATTTCCACAATTATTTTCCAACCATTTATATGGAGAATATATGCTTCCTATATCAGTATATTGACAGGTATTTAGGTGAAAGACTTTAACAATATCGTCCAATTTATAAGACTTCATTAAACTTTCTGGGACTCTTTAAGAACAAATCATATGAAATGGGAACTTGTTCAAGACCTTTCATTTTTTATTACACAAATTAAAATCACAACTAGTACAACATATTTTAATATTTTTTTGATCAATCCCGAGTTAAGTACTACCAGTTGCCTATTACCCGGTGGTGACTTATTTTATCATTTGCGAGAAAATAGCTTCTTCCACAGGTACTATATCGACCCTTCCCCCAGGCGCCCTACAGCTGGGTTCGTACATTGTATGTACCTGGTAGCCTGTCTCGGCCTGATACGGTCTCGCCATACACACATTCTCCATCGAACTTACCTCGATGTAACAAACAACAAGGTGGTCGGAGATCTGGGTATATGCACTTAAGACACACACACACACACGTGTGTGATTGTACCTTTAGAATTCGGTAATACATGCAGTATGCTAAACACTAAGTACAGTGCACTATACAGTTGTTTAGTCCTAGGACTCTTCAGTGATGATAGGGACCAAAACCAATGGTACTGTTGAAGTAGAGGGATGCTGGAGGTATCATCCCCAGTACATAGTGGATCAAGCAGAAGAGGCATCTCTGCAGAATACAGAACATTTGACTATCACCATGCAGCACTGTTTTATATAAAGCAGTTGTAAAGGCATGTAGTTATTGATTTATCTATAAAAAAATGATATTATGATTTCAAATGCACAAAGTCAACGGGACTTGTCTTGTATAGGTAATACTAACTGAAGTCTATTAGTCTTGGACTGGAGGTTCAGTGTTTGGTTGAACTTTGAAGAAAAGAAAAAATAGTTCAATAATGAAAATAGAACAGGACACAGTTGCTTGTTCACAAGACTGTTTCTGACCAGGGGACACATATTATATGTCGTTTTCAACAAAAATCATTTCATATTTACTCTGCACCAAATCATAACATTTTGTGCGCCGGACATGTACAAGTATGTTTTTACCAATAAAAGCTCCTGCGACCGTATAATTAAAATTGTATGAAGGTGTATTTAAATCTTGATGTCAACTATAAAACATGTGTTTAGTCACTTATCATCAGGACAAATGCGTGATTTTTGGGCTAAATGATATGTAAATAAGCGAGATGACAAAGACAATAGATCTATTCGATCACAAGTAACACACAAACTTAACATATGTTTGAAAGTTATAACAAACCATGAACAACTTTCTACATGCCTTTGAGTATTGATTATAATTTCAAACTCTAATAATTTTTTAAACGTCGACAGCGAGTGTGATGTTAAAATCACAAACTGAATCAGTTAAACAATCGTCAAAGCTATACTCGGTTCTAAAAACACATGCCTTTTTTTACATGTGTTATGAATATAAGAGCCTCGATATCATGTTGGCACTTTAAAACGATGAGGGTATATCCTATTGATATACCAATATTGTGTTTGTTGCGTAATGCCAATTTCTGGTCACAAAGTAATAATAAAAATAAGTAATGCTCGATGAGCTTGGTTTATGATTCATAAGTGTAGTTTTACTGCATGCTACAGAAAAATAAAAATTAAAATTAACAAAAAACACTTAGGAAATGTTATATTTATCATGTTAAACAAGTACACCCATCGATTATTTGAGAAACTAAGAGTTGGTTTGTATGTGAAATTGATATGTGGTTGATTTATTTGCAGTCGTCATGTCGGAACAGAGGCAGTGTGAGCGGGTACTTCTTGGCGGGGAGGACAATGAATTGGATTCCGGTAACATTTTATTGTATACACAATGGATGTTTATGACGCACGCGATGGTGCTGTCTATAGCTACTTGTAATATATTTTAAGTTAATTCATAATATTTCATTTGCGCTAACTAACTCGATACGATATCAGCTCGAAATAAACACGTGAAATATTGTGCATTCCATATAGTGCATATGTTTTCTGTGCAGTGATAAAAGCGATCCTGATATTTGTGTTCAGTTCTAAATATTTCTAACTCGTTTACATCTTCTTTAATTACTGTTACTTACTGCGAATTACTTTACTTTTAGATGTATTTGATTTTGCAATGAATTGTTTTTTCGTTAGTTTAGAGTCATCTATTTAAATATTTATCGCGGAAATTAAATTAAAGGCAGTTGAAAGTATTCGCTCGGCATTAAATATGCCTCTATTTGCTGTCAACGGTCAGAAATGCCTCGTGAACATGAAAGCCCAACTTTATCGGAAATAATCTGCAAGTTTTCATAAACATATGTGTATACTGACAATGTGACACGAGGTTTTAATATGGCTTCTATTTTTCTTGCATTTTCTTCAGGTTGGGGCTTCACTTTTCGCTAGTAACATCGGCAGTGGCCATTTTGTTGGACTAGCAGGCTCTGGCGCTGCGTCCGGTATCGGTATAGCGGTATTTGAACTCAACGTAAGTTAAATATAACAGTGTATTTTTTTCGATGACGGACCTATTGTTATTTTCATTTGACTGCAACTTTTAAGAGAACCTTGCTCTTCAGCAACACAAACGCTATCGGAATATCTTGTATTACGTTGTTGACTTACTGTATGCAAAATTGAAATTGAACTTCAGAGATAATAAGGTTTGCTTCGTACTGACCGTCCTTCACTTACAACAGTAACATTGAACATTACTATATACACGCAATCTAGTACACATACAGTTATTCAATTAGCAATAAAACCGATCTCGACAGCAGTTTGAATATTTATTTGCTATGCATGTTTTTATCATGCAGTCTATATCAGTTTACTCGAAAGTACCCTTCTCAATAACCTATCATACTTTCTGAACATTTTGCGGTCATGTATATGTGGTACATTTAATAGGAAACTGTCTAATTCATTTGTTAAAAGACGTGGGACCCCTTAAAGCAAAATTAAAAAAACAAATGTACAATTAAAATTTTCTACTTCAGCACATTTTTTATTTCATCTCATCAATATATCATATCGATGCTATATTAATGCATGATTGCAAACAAGAAAAGCAATTATATCAGTACCTTTTGAAAAGAGGGTCAATCTGGTAGTATTTTGTCGCTCTTGCAATTGTTTTTATGATAATTATGTTGATACATGTACAAATTGATTTTCATATATATATATTACATTCCTTGTAGGCTATATTCATCCTGATGATGCTAGGATGGCTTTTCGTGCCAGTGTACATAGCATCTGGGGTGAGTTTCTTTATACATCCTTATGATTAAATATTAGAGCATGTTTGGTTAACATGTAATATATAAAAAGTACCAAACTGTAATATACATCTCATATTCATTCCTACATAAAGGATATTAAATAATGTTTCCAGTTTATAAGGCTGGCGAAACAAATTTATAATTTCTATTTCTTTCTAGCAAGCCTATGGCAAGCTAATATGATAAATATTGTGACACGTTTTATGTATCTGGTAACGAATAGGAACGAATGTCAGATCGCTTTTTATCACAATATCAAGAATTGTGATGTAGATATTGCGAAAAACACGCTTTTACTAGTCGGTTCTGAAATCTTAATTTCCCCTTCCTGCTTAATGTGATCTTTTCGGCAATAACTTAACATGTAAAAGTGTTAAATGAAATGGATATTGTAGCACACCTCCATTATTTTACAAGAAAGTAGTTCTTCTATCACTGTTTAATGTCTCGTAGGGTAACAATGTCGTCTGTTACTCTCTTTTGGCTATAAACCTTCACCATAATCAAATATATAGCGTGCATGAAGAGGAGAACACTGACAATACGTCACAGCCTTTCAAAAGTCAATTTCAAAATATTCGTATGAAAACTTTATGAATTGTATTCGTTTATTCAACATACTACCATATGCTCTATATGTGTCTTGAATTTGATTCGTAAACGTGAGATAATTTTATTCGATCTTTTCCCAGGTATTCACTATGCCAGAGTACCTACAGAAACGTTTTGGAGGACAGCGGATCAGGATTTACCTCTCTGTACTCGCCCTTATTCTTTACGTATTCACAAAGATATCCGTAAGTGTAACTATTGTCATCCTAACTTGTATCCTTACAATGCGATAAAAAGATGATGACTTCATAACAAGTTATGTTTACTTTAATCTTATGTAGGACATCCTTGTTGGTACAACATATGGGACAGGCTATGCGTATCCCTACTCAGCTCCTCCAAGATGTATTTCCTTTAATTATGGCGACTTCTGGATTTCTTTAATAGAGATTTAGATTTGACTAATGAGGTTTCCTTTTTATGTTTACACTGCATTATCGGTTATAATAAAATTGCTAAAATAGGTATAAACTAATTAATAGTTATCCGATAAGTCATGAAATGAAAATGTCTAAATGAATTTTATATCAAGCTTGAACATTTATCATTTAAATACATTTTTAATTGTTCAATTAAAATACATGTATTAACCAATTCTTTATTTTATGTCGTCTTGAATCTGCATTTCATTTTTTTCATATAAAGAGTGGTTAATTTTGATGAAGTGAAATGCTTTATTGAATCACGTAACTGATACCATATTCGGGCATTGCACTGAGCGTATATTGTCAGTATCGATTCAAACAAAGTTTGCTTGTTAGGTTATTATTGGATTACTTTGCGAGATTTGTTCCCCTTTTTTTATTTAGAATGGTTTTTTTCGGGTTGTAAAATCAATTTTGTATATTCGATAATCTGTGTTATGTGATTGCAGTCTAGGTTCGTCAATAAATCCTTACAAATTAACACTTTTCATAAGTGTAGTTTTCAAAATATCCATGTCTGTACGATATGCCTAAAAGACATTACTTGTTAATTACCATACATTTTCACCAAGTCTAATGCTTTAACATAAAGTTTAGAAGAAGAATGATATAGGCTTAGCCTGTTGTCTGATTCTTTTGTCGATATTGTACTATTACCTAAATTAATATATATAACTAACATGTTTGTATGTAGATGCATTGTTAATGAAACACCTTTGAATTTAATTAAACGTAATGTGTTCAATATATTTATGCAGGCTGATTTGTTTTCCGGAGCCCTCTTCATCACACAGACATTCAAGGGATTCAACCTATACCTGGCCGTTATTATATTATTAGCCATTGCAGCGGTTTTCACTATCACAGGTAATGTTTTTTTCTTCTGCTTTATGTACTTTGGCGTATAACGAAATCTGATATTTAAAAAAGGCAAACGTGTACTCGAGATCTTCTCCCTTTTAACCTGTATTTACCGCTTGGTAAAAGTGTATTTACCGTTGACTCTTTGCTCCTCTCTTAACCCTTTCACAACTGTAGACCATAATGGACTCATCCAGATCAATGCATGGTAGAGTCTACTGAAGTTACATAGGGGTGAAAGGGTTAAGTTGATAAGCATTATTAAAAGTCAGATTTTATAATCCCTATAGATCCATTATCTAAACATTAAACAATTATTACTACGTAACGGCCAATTAAAATACTTTGTATTATCATTTAACATACTGTAAAAGACATTTATTTTTAGAAAGATAAATAAACATAGCCGAAGCTTAAATACTAGAAACGTGTGATTTGGATGACGACGAAGATTACATTATGAGGTTTGGTAGCTTTCATTTCAGATGTTGGTGCGTTCTGCTCCAGTGGAAGTATTTGGTACTGTAGCTGTTATGTAAGATGATGATGAGTTTTATTTCAGTGTTGGACTTTGATAATCATTCTATCGATATTATAGTATGCCTTTCCATTGTAGGAGGGTTGACCGCTGTAATTTGGACTGATTTTGCGCAGGTTATCATCATGGTGATCGGAGCATTCATCCTCATGATCATGAGTAAGTATAAAGCTAGGATTTGTTGTACGTGCCGCTTTTATGTACAGAGATTTGGAGTAACATGGAGTGATTATAACGATGTTTTAATTATCTGACCCACAGATTTGAAAGCTGAAATATTCCGTTGAGGTAAAAGGTTATACATGTACACTACCGATAACGTACATGAGTTTTAAAGAAATGCTTGGCCTGATCATTAAATTATACATAATACGTCAAGCTTAACAACAAAGGTTGCTATTATGGTTATGAAAGTTAAAAGACATCACATGGGGAGTAGGATCTGCTTAGCCTTTCAAACAATGATACAATATCGCCTCCCGTTGGTAATGGATATGATCGATGTTTTTTCTCTACCTTTTTGTATTGATTTTTTTTTATTAATTAATGTTAAATGTGGCATATTTTGTGATTTATGTTGACTCTTTTTTGACGCTTAAGTGTATTTTGTGTTAATGTGCTGACATTGTAGAGTGCATGCTGTATTTGTGTCGTTAAGCTGTGCTATATTATTTTGTGATGAAGCTGGTGATATATGTTGTGATTCTGAATAAAAAATCCCAGCGAATATAAGAAAAAGACATTTGTTTTTACAAATTAATGAAATATGACGGGCACAAATAACGCAATATGGAAATAGAGATAATGTAAACTATCCGGAAGTAATTTTTGTTAATGCTATTTTTAACCAGGTTTCATTGAAGTTGGTGGATATGAGCAACTGATTAAAAAGTATTTTGATGCGTGGCCAAATACGACTCGTTTGAACTATGGGAACATATACAACAACTATAGCTACGCCAAATGTGGCATCCCTCCCCAAAATGCCATGCATTTGATGAGAGCGGCGGATGATGGTAATCTCCCCTGGCCAGGAATCATTTTTGGTCTCACCATTTCTTCGGTGTGGTATTGGTGCTCAGATCAGGTAATTTATCTAATAACGTGTTTGCATTATCGCAAGAGATGGTTTTCTTGGTACATATCAACCATTTCGATTTATAGAGTATTATATATATAGGATCTTACATGAGTTTTCTCTTCATATGAAATTTATGAAACGAGTCTAAGAATTGTTCCAATTAGCGAGCCTCTTGCGAGCTAAAGTGAAAAAAATCGTGACTAGTTTAATAAATCTCATATGAAATGAAAACGAGTGTTAAAACCTGTTTTTATCACATAATCAAGATTTGTGGCATTAATTCGTGTAAAACGACAATTATCATGCACCCTTGAACATTTTACATTTTGAAATGTAAAAAGCTGCCATTTTGACTGAAACAATTGAAACTTTCAACCAATCACAGGGCTGACAGGTCATAATACGCAAAAAATGTGACATGGGTATATTCACTGGATAACACAGTACATTATGTGATAAATACGGTATATCAAAACAATTCCAGTATGCATAATGTATCTACAATGTACTAAACGTCGATTTATTGGCAGAGATAAAATGGTAACAATGATATCTATAACGAGTATATGCTTGTTCTCCAGGTCATTGTACAGAGAGCTCTAGCCGCCAAGAATTTATCACATGCCAAGGCCGGGACGCTTCTCGCCGGATACTTGAAATTTTTACCCCTCTGGCTTCTCGTCTTTCCAGGAATGGTTGCCCGAATTTTGTTTCCAGGTAGGTGTTATTTGACAGTATCACACTAATAGAATCTCACAACAAGAACAACAAAATTTAACATTTTTGAATAGTCCTGTATTTGTTAACTTTATGTGTATTTCTGTTACGGTATATACAGAACATGAACATAGATGCATGTTATGAAATTATTTTCAAAAGAACTTCAATCAGATTTCTTTTAAATTTAGAGTGCAACTGTTGTTAACTGTGCCTTTCTTGTTGGTTCAGTTTATATGTTACATGTCAAGTTATTCTTAAGATGGCTCCACACATCGTCATCAGTGTCCATTTTCTTCCGCAACAAGTACAGCTCGGACTCAATTATCTCGAACGAAATGTGCATGTACACCGTGTCGTAGGGTCCGTCGTCGGTCGTTGTCGTCCGTCGTCAACTTTTTCTTTGAAGCCTTTCTTCTCCTAAACGCCAAAGAGGATTTCAACCAAATTTAGTCTGAAGCATCACCAGGGGAGGGCAATCATTTCCTAAATAAATGAGACTTGTTTGACACCTGGGGCTAGGAAGACCGGGTCCCAAAGAGGAAAATTATCTAATATTTTGCCTTAAGACGCTAATACCCCCTAATTGCCTGAGGGATTGTCAAAAACATTATTGAGGAAGAACAAACATTTCTTAATTGAATGAGGTTGATTGGACCCCTGCGGTGATAAGAAATGGTACAGCTAGATTATCATATTCTAAGGTGTTGTTTTCATAAATTGTAAAAAAATGGTTTCCAGGTTTATAAAAACTTACAGTTGAATGAAAATTAAAGTACTCTCTAATTACACCCTGTAATATGACATTTTACTTATTTCAAAATCTGTTAACATGGCAACTCAATGGAGTTAAAGTCAGATGTTGTGGTCCCAGTTGGGTTAGAACATAGATCTTGTCTGGATTTCATATAAAGATGTACAAATCCATTCAGTTGTAATGACTTAAATATAAAACCAGGTGAGCGATACAGGTCCAATGGACCTCTTGTTTGTATTGCGTATCGGGCATTTCAATACCGTAGTGTAAATTAAAATAACACCTGGTAAACAATAGTACACGTGAGTGACGATGATGTGTCAACACCAAATATCGAGATTTTGTTCGGAAATGTGTAATCACACGTACTTTAGGAATAAAACTTACAATACAAAGACATAAACTGACTCACAGGAATGCGGAATGATGTGATTTGTGTACCCACCTCACATGTGCATATCACGTGCTTACACGAGTTCACAAGCTCGAGGTCGTAACGATTTTCGCTGTTGAGCGAGTTTCGTTCTGTCGATTAAAATATTTTTTCAAATGCGGTGCACTTCCTCATGTGAAAATAGTGGTTTATAAAAATAACAAGGTCCCTTTGAAAATGCATGTGTGAGTGCACATGAGCATACCATACGATAGCTTCTCATCACATATATACATGTAAATATACCGCGGGTTGATGTCCAAAGTGCACATGACTGAGAGTAATTTAGTTCAATAAAAGAACAATAAAGTGACTATTTGGTATCATAATTTTAATTTATTTCCATCACTTTTGATATCTGTAAAAAGAGATAACTGTCACTTTGTAAATTTTATTCCTCTGCAAAAAGTTCCATTTTTTTTTCAAGGAAGACAACTCTCACGAGGATCACTTTTACGCATACAATTTTAATAAAAAAACACTTTGCGTAACGTGTTTTATATATTTTGTGATAAATACAATATTTTATAAAATTATTTTGCAATGCTTCTTTTCATTTTATATTGTTGTTATTGTTGTGAACAATCACCCCCCCCCCCCCCCCACACACACACACACATACACCTACACAAAACGAAAACTATTAAAATTGATGAAAACTCAAGTTTCAGGTATTTAAAAGAAAAAGTCCCCAAACTATCGGAAAGCTTAAATGTTCATAAAACCAACTCTACATAGTTGCATAGCCATTATATGAAAGTGTTGAGCCTCCTTAAAATATCATTACATTCCACAACCAACTTTATATGATGCTGCGTATACAAGATATATCCTCATTCGGTTTGATAGGATTTGCCCTGCTGACAAAAATGTTTTATTAACCATCCAATACATATATTTCATTTACACAACTCGTCTATGTGATTTACAGATGAGGTTGGCTGCGCTGACCCGGATGTTTGCTTTGAGGTATGTGGAAGTCGGGCGGGCTGTACAAATATTGCTTTCCCGAAACTCGTTCTAAAGATCATGCCTGTTGGCCTGAGAGGATTAATGTTGGCTGTCATGATGTCTGCCCTCATCTCATCCCTGACTTCCATCTTCAACAGCAGCAGTACCATCTTCACTATGGATATCTGGAGGCGGATAAGGAAGGATGCCGGCGACGTAGAACTCATGATAGTGGGACGGTTAGTTACGTAGTGCTCATTGATTGTCGGAGGGTTAGATGTGATAAGCGACTTGATTATCAGACTGTTAGATACTTAACCTCACTGATTGTCGGAAGGTTAGAAATGTAAAGCTCCTTGATTATCAGACGGTTATATACTTAACCTTACTGATTGTCGGAGGGTAAGATGTGATAAACTCTTTGATTATCAGACGGTTAAATACTTCAAACCTCACTGATTGTCGGGGGTTAGATGTGATAAGCTACTTGATTATCAGACGGTTATATACTTAACCTCACTGATTGTCGGAGGGTAAGATGTGATAAACTCCTTGATTATCAGACGGTTAGATACTTAACCTCACTGATTGTCGGAGGGTTAGATGTGATAAACTCCTTGATTATCAGACGGTTAGATACTTAACCTCACTGATTGTCGGAGGGTTAGATGTGATAAACTCCTTGATTATCAGACGGTTAGATACTTAACCTCACTGATTGTCGGAGGGTTAGATGTGATAAACTCCTTGATTATCAGACGGTTAGATACTTAACCTCACTGATTGTCGGAGGGTTAGATGTGATAAACTCCTTGATTATCAGACGGTTAGATACTTAACCTCACTGATTGTCGGAGGGTTAGATGTGATAAACTCCTTGATTATCAGACGGTTAGATACTTAACCTCACTGATTGTCGGAGGGTTAGATGTGATAAACTCCTTGATTATCAGACGGTTAGATACTTAACCTCACTGATTGTCGGAGGGTTAGATGTGATAAACTCCTTGATTATCAGACGGTTAGATACTTAACCTCACTGATTGTCGGAGGGTTAGATGTGATAAACTCCTTGATTATCAGACGGTTAGATACTTAACCTCACTGATTGTCGGAGGGTTAGATGTGATAAACTCCTTGATTATCAGACGGTTAGATACTTAACCTCACTGATTGTCGGAGGGTTAGATGTGATAAACTCCTTGATTATCAGACGGTTAGATACTTAACCTCACTGATTGTCGGAGGGTTAGATGTGATAAGCTCCTTGATTATCAGACGGTTAGATACTTAACCTCACTGATTGTCGGGGTGTTAGAAATATAGGCTCCTTGATTATCAGACACTGATTGTCGGGGGTTAGATGTGATAAGCTCCTTGATTACCAGACTGTTAGATACGGTTATAAGGCATTAGCAATCAGCCAATATCTTTCACATCGCTCTGGGAAGCATACAGCCGGTGCTGCCATTTCGGCGCCCAAAGCTAGCATTCAACAATTCCAGCACTGCCCAATTGCGTCCTTATTTACAACTGAGTAGATTGAAACAAACTGGAACGGAGTTAAGTATCTTGCTAAAAGATACACCACAGTGCCATGCCATGACTCGAACCCACAAGCCTTCGGTCACAAGCCCGGCGTCCTACCGATTGTGAACGATTGTCGGACATTTCTTTATGTTAAGCTCAGTGATGATCAGATGGTTAGTCATGCTAAACTCATTGATTGTCAGACGATTATTTATATAAAGTTCATCAAATGGCGGCCAGTGAATCACATAAAGCTCATTGGTTATCAGACGGTTTTCAATGTTAAGCTGGTTGTTTTTCGGTAATAATAATAATATAAATTAGAACGTTAAAGACATATCGGAAATTGGGTTGTGCAAAACACATTTTGGTTATAGAATATCGGAATATTCATTGAGTACGTGAAGAACGTTCTGGACACATCTTATTATCTTGCCATAACCAATAACTACTTACCTCCCTTTCATCAGATCTAGGTGTTAGTTATCGCTGACATTATCGACTATCCACGTTACATACTGTCTAGGCACTAATTAGGAGTCGGAATGTGGGTAACCAATCTCAGGTTTTTGTCTCATTTAGTTTTCTTCTTTTTATCAAAACATTTAAATTCAAATTAATTAGATACATGTAGTCATATGAACTGCGAGACCGATATGTATTTACCTTTCTTTATATCTTCTAGATATTTGTGCATTGTTGATGACTTAATGACCCGTACTGCCTGCTCACAATTATTCCCTAAAACAATAACCTCTAGGCGCTCATGTGGCTTCACTAAGGTACCTTTATACTAACGGTAGCATGGGCATTATCTATCAAATGCGTCGACCACACATTCTCTTACTGTTCTTTTTACTTATGTTTTTTGTAGGTGCTGCGTTTTGATCTTGGTGGTGATATCGGTAGTTTGGATACCTATTGTTCAGAACGTTTCAGAATTGTTCCATTACATTCAGGCGATAACTAGCTTTCTCGCACCACCTGTGTGTGCTGTTTATGTCTTAGCCGTGTTCTGGAAGCGAACCAACGAAAAGGTGAGTTCATATTAGAAAGACATTATTTGACGGTTTGTATTTGATTATATCTCATTAATTTATCATAAAATATACATGCTAGGTTAAGTACTTATGGAAATAATGAATTTTTACTAAGCATTAATCTACATATAAAGTTAAAACCAATACAGGCTGGATCTGTATTGAAAAAGCACTATTGAAACCCGTAATGATATGTATGCTATGTTTTGGTTTTGTAATAGAATAGTTCACTCTTGTGTTATGTAGACACAGAACTCTCAATCACCTGAGGTAACTGTAACATTTTAAAAGTTTACATCACGCGAGTGTGACAGTTTACATCACGCAAGTGTGACAGTTTGTCTTGCTCTCTTTCCTGCAGTTAAAATACCCAGTAAAAGTGAATCTATCATTAATAGTGCGTGACATGAGAGACCATGGCAGAGAATTCTGGTTTATAATGGTCTCTTTCTGGTAGAGATCGTTATGAATCTCGTTTTGTGTGTGATTGAATTTCAACAATTCAGAAATTGTTCAGGTTTGAAATTATATATAACTTTTATTTAGAGCATTTTGCAACCCAAATCAATGTACTTCATTCAAATAGCAGCAACAACATTTCATTGTAATGGGGGAATACTGTATTCTAGGAAACTTTAGCCCAGTCAAATATACGTCATTTGCATATAACATTTATGTTCGCCTAGTGTTCATGTCGCTCTTTAGCTATACAGGATATGCTATGTGCTGACAATCGCCTTTGCGATTAATTCTCCTTCGTTGTCGAAGGCGAAAAAGAAGAAAATTAAACTGCGGCTTTTCTTTCCCAGTATACTGTAATTCAAAAATATCCTGTACAGAACGTATTTCTTTATCGAACCAACAGGGGGCGTTTTACGGTCTGATGATCGGTCTTCTGACAGGAATGATACGATTTATCTGGGAATACGTCTACTCTGTGCCTCCATGCGGCGAGGAGGAAAAAGATAATCGCCCTGACATCATTTCCAAAGTCCACTATCTCCACTTCGGAATCATCCTGTTTGGGGTGGTCTTCGTCGCCACCGTAATCATCAGTCTTTTGACTAAACCAATAGACGATGTCCATGTAAGTTTCTTTGTGCTTTTAAAGGTTATCACAGATAATTCAGATACTTAGGGGTTTAGTGACCCAAACACTTGGTCGACCCGAAAATTATCATTTTACAGGTTATCACAAATATTAGAGTTTATTTCAGAAATTTGGTAATTGATTACTTCAACACTTGGTCGAACCAAAGTATATCATTTTCCTTTATTGAGCTAATCTGAGGTAATATTTCTTATTGTTCTCAATGATATCTGACAAATTGTTTAAAAGCCTAATACAGTTTGGATATGTATATATATATATATAAGAATCTGATCGATATCATTAGAATTATCATACGAGAGCTGTAGCAGACTTCTGTTGCAATCAATCACATCATTTTAAATGTTGTAGATAAAGTAAGTGGTCCAAGGTTTAGTTTTGACATTCTATAAACACTTATGCCCTAACAACCGATTTTGTTTTTTGTATATCGAGCCTTTGTTTTTCCAGATAAGTTATGCTATCACTTAAATTGTTCTTATCACATAAGTTAAGTTCTCTAAGTGTTAAAACAACTTTGTCACTAGAGCAATAATCACAACTTACATGCACACATGCAACTCAAGGAAAATTATATTTTCATAATTAGTAGCGTTGTTTTCTTATTTTTCTTCCTAGCTACATCGACTGACATTCTGGAACAGGTTCAGTACGGCTGAACGGGTGAACATAGACGAAGAAGAACAGAAAGCTACGCAAGACGCAAATCCAAACACACTCAAAATGGAGGACATTCGTACGTATTCAATCAATAGATTCTTAATTGATTTATAGGCGCTTTGTTTTGCAGTTTTGTGGGTGCTGTTGCCTCATTAGTTCTTTTGCATTGTCGTAAAACGACGTAATTTGTAAAATAATTGGCATCTTCAAACCGAGATACATTTGTTTTTCGTTTTGGAGTTGATGCATAACGTCCTCCTTTTAGTTTTGATGTCTTCTTTGTTTTTGTTGATGCATTTGTCCTCTATTATAAAACATCAGGTACACTTATTACCTTATGGTCTTAGTTAAACTCTCCATACAACATTTGGATAAGCTTAACCTCTCTTCATTTGAAAACTGGCCATAACATTTTGAACGATGGAAAGAAAGTACATCTATATACTAATGTCTTAATTTCGAGATGAGAAATCTAAATGACATTTTCCAAGAAAACCTATCTTTAGAATTGAATGTTTTTCTATTCACTTGTCAAACAGAGCCTGAGGTTGACACACCTTGCTACAAGAGAGTATTTCAGTGGATATGCGGAATCGAGAAGATGGTCAACCAACCTCAGATGACGGACGAAGAGCGACAGGCTATCGAAAAGAAACACGAATCAATTGTGGAAAAAGGCACATGGAAAACAGTTCTCAATGTTAACGCTGTTCTGCTGATGACCATTGCAGTGTTCATGTGGGGATTCTATGCTTAATCACCACATGATTTAGGTTTATTGACACAAAAGGCATAATCGTAACCATACCCTTCGCATAATCGTCGTCACGAACTTGGTCTACTGTGTACATGTTCATATTATGTTTATAAAGATGTTCCATTCGTGTAACAGCTTATTGTGGGGATTTTGAGGAGATTATATCCATTGTTTCCATATTAATTTACATATAATAATAAGTCCAAAATCTTCTCTTTATATCAGCATAATATATATATATATATATTGAATACTAGTATACATTCATATTGTATATATTGTCGTGTATGAAGCAACATGTATTCCGCTTTATCAAATCATAAAATATGCATAGCATTGTAAATCTATTTCAATCATAAAGTTTCAAGATAACATATACGTAGTGTTCTCGCTGGGTGTTGTCATTATAACATCATTGGAAAGTTAATTTCAAGGAACAGTGAATCGAAAATGTATGGACCTAACCATATCAAATAATGATGTGTGTCTATTAACTAAACTATAAATAAACAGATATCATAATGACGTTGTATTCAATATATCCAGAAAATTAGCCAGACAAGATAAGCATTTAGAAATGAATTGTTCAGGACAACGGGGTTCATTTTTTTGGAGATCAAATACCGATCATAAAGGGTCCAGTTGATTGCGCACTTATCGTTCATCAAGGCTACTAGGGTTCGATTCCCCGATCGGTCTTTAAAAGGTACGGGGTCATCCGGTCGTGGGATTTAGTTTATATTTCATAGCAATTATGCAATATATATCGTGTTCACGCATTTGATCGTTTAATGTGTCAGTCTTTTCAGCCTTTATTTACTATAGTATTTGCTTCCCGTTTTTCCGCATAACAATATATCACAAGAGTATTGTGTATGCGCCGTTCAATTGTTTTGGACAAAAACGAGAAATATATTCAATTGCTGATTATAATGGTGCTAATTCATTTAGTTTTATAATTGATATGATAATTACATCAACAATTATACTTCCCTCAGAATAATCAATTATTCCATCAAGAGGCAGTGACAAAATAATCATTATCAGAAAACTAGGCTGTTTTCTAGTTATCCTCTATCCGATATTTTTATGTTTAATCTTAAATATTGTGATATCATTATATATTGTTATGTCGCGAAAAGATACAATGATCACTCAATTTTTATTGTTAGCTTAAATGACTTTTATCGTACACAAAACGAAGCGAAATCCATTTTTAATGTGATAATTAACGAGTTATCGGAAGAACCATGAACAGGCTATTGTTAATGCTTCGACATAAACCCTTTGTTGTTGTGCATTTTGAAAAACATTTTGCCATTGTTATGACCTGTCGAAGAACTACTAACATTTTGCGCTTGTAATCATCTGTCGGAGAACCACATCATAATAAACTAATCATTGTAACCTGTTCATACCTTATACAAATATGCATAGCAAACTTGTATGAATATTATTAATCAAAGAATTTATATTTGAAACTGTATGAAATATTATATATATACATGATTGATAAATAAATCAAATATTTTATATTTTGTCTTACTTTTATATTTTAAACATGATACTTGGTTAACTAGTTTTATAACGCAAAATGGAAAATTATATTTACTTCTAATTGCATACATAAAAAATACCTCCTCCTGCGGACTACATGTATATCCGTGAAAATAGAACAACGATTATTACAGCATATAGATAAAGGAGTAGAATACCATGTAAATTAAAATTATTCAGATCTGAAAAAAACAATACTGACCAAACAGCTTCCCATTTATTTTCGCAAATAATTATAAACGTGAACGTAATTATTCTTTTACCTCATGGTGACTTAAAACGCATAACAATATTACCAATACATAGCGGCTGTTATAAAAGCAAAAGGCATCTGCAAGGTTGGTGTGACACTAAATACAGATGTGCAACGATGTGCATGTGGTGGTGAAGTAAAGACTGTTAACCTTTCGTTGGTTTGTCTGAACCAAATTGGGCGACGTCCGTACATACAGGCATAGAAAGGCCCGGTGTAATCGTCATTTTTTCCTGCACGCGAGATAGCGGGGACATCGCTTGGTCTTCGTGCATCCCATCAAACCATTCGCAACGTCACTGTAAATCTAGCTCTAATTGGGGCAAAACACATCGTCGTCTTTTACAGACACCAGCAAAAAGACCATCACCCTACCGCATTAAAACAGTCCCGTTCAATGACACAGCAGCTACCAACATCTCCAGACCCTAAGCCTCCCACCACCGTGTGATAAGCCGAATAATGGTTCAACCGCAAAACATTATTCCAAGAACGATGTGTACCGGCGGTGGTTTGTGGGATTTTTAAACGACCTTAGTCGACACGTGTAAATTTACAACACAGTCTCGGCTACACAGGTTAACATTGACACTTTTACCTGGACCGTAGTTTATCCCGCCCGGGGCACTTACGTAACTCGCCAAGGTGTGAAAACCAGATGAATGGGAGCTATAGACCAAAACGAATGCAAATAACAAATATTAAACGTCCAGTTGAGTTTTCATAATGGTCATACGGTATCATATATCAGCTATATGTGTCAAGTACAGGCCAGGTAAAACTCCGGTCACTTATTAAATAGCTATTTACCTGTTCTGTTCTGGGGCGAACGATTGTTAAATCGCACAGTTGTGCGCACCAGGTGTGGACGATGTGCGGACGGTGTGTGAACGATGTACGCCCGGTGTGCGCACGGTATTTTTGGTGCGTTGTGCGTTCCAACACAACTGTATCGTTCTAAAGATACATATTTCATAAACAGTGGTGTCAGTACGGTTTTTACGAGCGAATTCATCATGCATTGGTTTACTGTTTTTGTAAGATAATATCATTGTATTTGTCAAAGCCAGATTGTCCTTCATACTTTAGAGCTCACATTCACATTAATGCTATTGCACATAACGTTCCCCTAAAAGTACATTGTAATAGTCGATTATCTTAAATGCAATTTAAAGAGCTTCGTTTAAGTAAGATTTGTCATAGTTTACAGGTATGCTTTTTTTATTTAACCTAGGTCGATGCTCTGTTTTTTGCATCACTTATCCGAGATTTCATAATTTATATAAAAAGATATAAGAATCTGTTGTGTTTATCTTTTCTTTAACTAGATTCTCCTAGTGAATGTCTACGAAAGAATCAGTAAACGACACTCTTAAAATTGAATTTGCACGTATTAATATTAGTGTTTTCATACCTTATATAATGTTACCCTTTACTCCGTGCATGTACTTATTATCTTTTAATACTTATTATGTTATTTCCAATCGAAATATTACGTTTATAAGTTTTTTAGCTGACGGGGCTTTAACAAAAGACGGGAGCATTACGTAAAAAACATCAAAGATTTATGTTCTGCTATTAACATTTACATTTATCAAGGTCGCCAGACTATAAACAGTTCTATAATTACGTTAATTTACATAAACATTTGCATATCCATGCGTTGCACAATGATGCTTTGCAAAACTATTCAAATTAACATTATTCATGTTAGTATTTGCATACACACGTTTTAATGAATTAATGGGTATGACCATTTTTAATAAAAGTACATGCAAACCTATTTTCCCCCTGTGATTTGTTAAGGAACAAGTCCAGCTGCTTTTACGTGTCTCTCATCTTTTTAGTTTCGTTTTCTTTTAAATTGATTTGTCTTATTTCAAAAAGGCACACAGCCTAAAAGTAAGAAAAATCAAATAGAGGTTATATACCAGTATGTACTTCGCTTGAATGGAAAACAATAACGATATGTTTACTTTTCTCACACGTGAAAAGTATCGGAATTTTGCCATCCTCTTCATGTCGCCATAACGGGCGACATTCTATTTATATGTCACCCAAATTGCATTCATATAGACTGTATACTGCATCTGGAAACAGTTCAATGCTTAAATGCACTAAGTAAGCTATACACCAAACTTACATGTATAATATTCGTGGTGATAATACTGATGCACTAAGTAAGCCATAGACCAAACTTACATGTACAACAATCGTGGTGTATAATACTGATGCACTTAAAACCCATACACCAAACTTACATGTACAATAATCGTGGTGTATAATACTGATGCACTAAATAACCCATACACTAAACTTACATGTACAATAATCGTGGTGTATCATACTAACGTACTAAGTAAGCATTATGCCAAACTTACATGTACAATAATCGTCGTGTATAATACTGATGCACTAAGTAACCCATACACTTAACTTGCATGTACAATAATCGTGGTGTATAATACAAATGCACTAAGTAACCCATACACCAAACTTACATATACAATAATCGTGGTGTATAATACTAATTCACTAAGTAACCCATACACCAAACTTACATATACAATAATCGTGGTGTATAATACTGATGCACTTAAAACCCATACACCAAACTTACGTGTACAATAATCGTGGTGTATAATACTGATGCACTTAAAACCCATACTCCAAACTTACATGTACAATAATCGTGGTGAATAATCCTGATGCACTAAGTAAGCCATACACTAAACTTACATGTACAATAATCGTCGTGTATAATACTGATGCACTAAAAACCTATACACCAAACTTACATGTACAATAATCGTGGTGTATAATACTAATGCACTTAGTAAGCCCTAAACTAAACTTACATGTACAATAAACGTCGGTGAAAAATCCGAAGCCCTAAAAACCTATACACCAAACTCACATGTACAATAATCATGGTGTATAATACTAACGTACTAAGTAAGCTCTAGACCAAACTTAAATATACAATAATCGTGGTGAATAATAATGATGCACTAAGTAACCCATCCACCAAACTTACATGTACAAAAATCGTGGTGTATAATACTAATTCACTAAGTAACCCATACACTAAACTTACAAGTACAAGAATCGTGGTGTATAATACTAATTCACTAAGTAACCCATACACCACACTTACATATACAATATTCGTGGTGAATAATAATGATGCACTAAGTAACCAATACACCAAACTTACCTGTACAATAATCGTGGTGTGTAATACTGATGCACTAAAAGCCTATACTCCAAGCTTACATGTACAATAAGCGTGGTGTATAATACTAATGCATTAAGTAAGCCCTACAACAAACTTACATGTACCATAATCGTGGTGTATAATACTAATTCACTAAGTAACCCATACACCACTAAGTTACCCATACACCAAACCTACATGTAAAAAAAGCGTGGTGTATAATACTAATGCATTAAGTAAGCCCTACAACAAACTTACATGTACCATAATCGTGGTGTATAATACTAATTCACTAAGTAACCCATACACCAACCTTACATGTACAATATTCGTGGTTTGTAATATTAATGCACTAAGTAACCCCTACACCAAACTTGCATGTACAATATTCATGGTGTATAATACTAATGCACTTAGTAAGCCCTAAACCAAACTTACACGTACAATAATCGAGGTATATAATACTGATGCACTAAAAGCCTATACTCCAAGCTTACATGTACAATACTCGTGGTTTATAATATTAATGCACTAAGTAAGCCATACACCAAACTTACCTGTACAATAATCGTGGGGTGTAATACTAATGCACTTAGTAAGCTCTAAACCAAACTTACATGTACAATACTCGTGGTTTATAATATTAAAGCACTAAGTAACCCATACACCAAACTTACATGTACAATAATCGTGGTGTATAATACTAATGCACCAAATAAGCCCTACACCAAACGTACATGTACACTATTCGTGGTGTATAATACTGATGCACTAAGTAACCCATACACCAAACTTACATATATACTATTCGTGGTGAATAATACTGATGCACTAAGTAAACCATACACTAAACTTACATGTACAATAATCGTGGTGTATAATACTGATGCACTAAGTAACCCATACACCAAACGTACATGTACAATAATCGTGGTGTATACTACTGATGCACTAAGTACCCCATACCCCAAACTTGCATGTACAATAATCGTGGTGTGTAATACTAATGCACTTAGTAAGCCCTAAACCAAACTTACATGTACAACAACCGTGGTGTATAATACTAACGTACTAAGTAAGCTATAGACCAAACTTAAATATACAATAATCTTGGTGTATAATACTGATGCACTAAGTAAAACATACACTAAACTTACATGTAGAACAACCGTGGTGTATAATACTCATGCACTAAGTAACCCATACACCAAGCTTACATGTACAATAATCGTGGTGTATACTACTGATGCACTAAGTAACCCATACACCAAACGTACATGTACAATAATCGTGGTGTAAAATACTGATGCACTAAGTAAGCTATAGACCAAACTTACATGTACAACAACCGTGGTGTATACTACTAACGTACTAAGTAAGCTATAGACCAAACTTACATGTACAATATTCGTGGTTTATAATACTAATGCACTAAGTAACCCATACAGCAAACCTGCATGTACAATAATCGTGGTGTGTCATCCTAATGCACTTAGTAAGCCCTAAAC